CCAAATAAACCCTTTATGATATACAAATAATTTTAAAAAAAAAGGTGATAGTAAATTGACCCTGTATACCTGTAATTTGTAAAAACATAGGTACCTTGTTTTTTACTGGTATATAAGGTCAATTTATGATTATTATATTTTATAATTATTTCTTTATCATAAAGAGTTGATTTAGGAAGTTTTTCAAAAAAAAAAACATTTCTAAAGGGATGGGATCGTGGCACAACTGGGCAAGCCTTTCCTTTTCAAAGAACTTATTTTTAGTTTTGGCGAAAACTTCTTCAGATGGCAGGTGAGCTAGAAAATTACCACGTTGTGCAAATCACTTACAATAAATCGGCAACAGATATGGAGCCGATATAGCACCGAAGTATTTTTTTATGAAAACGACTTAATTACTCTTTACAAAAGCATCGATATCTTGCTATAATGAATTTGAGAAGAATATACTAAAATTACTCATTTAATTGAATAACAGGACATAGATGTATATCGAACCTAAATCGGACCGATATCATCCTGTCTTTAACAAAATTGTCTATATCGGATATATATCGGTCTGATGGCGGAAAGCCGACTTCGATATTCCGACATTTAGCCGATATCGGCCCGATATAGGTCTGTTTGCTGGGATAGAGGGGTTGAATTCCAGGTCTCACTCTAACTCCCACTGTTCTAACCGATTTAGCCCATTTTGGAGGGTGACTGGTTTGCAGACGTCAGAGCAATGTTATTTCAGTATCGTCTGCAATTAAGCGGACCTTGGAATTTATATTGTGTGGGAGGCGAGAAACAGGAGGGGTCCTAGAACAGAGCCTTGGGGACACCTGAGGCTACTGGAATAAGGTTAGAGCAGCTGCCATTCAGCACAACAAACTGCAGCCTGTCATCTAGAAAACTTTTGACCCAGTTTAAAGTTTAACCCTGAATTCTTAGTCATGTATTTTCAACAATATTTTCCAATGGCTGACCTTGTCGGAAGCCTTACCGAAATCTAAAAGAATCAGATTTACTGTTTTTTCTCATATACTTCGGATATTATTTAGTTACAATGTAATTATGTACAAAAACGAGACATTGTGTTATACAAGAATTTGTTTTTAATCAATATGACTTAAGTAGTTTTAAAAGTATTCCTTACCAAAACGATAATGCATCAGCTACATCATTTCATTTGTATTCCATAAGTTACATGATCGGAAACTGACGTCATTCACATCACCACTGTCCTCAATCTATATACCTACACGAGCAAATATTTCACTTAATTTTATGACCGTTTGAATTGGTTAAACAGCTTAAGAATTTGAACTTGTTTCCGACAAGTAAAAAATTCAGCACTTGGCCGCCATATTGCAAAACTGTTTGACTACGTGATTACGAGATTGACCTGTACGGGTTAATTTACGCGGACGGTAAGGAAACAGAACCCATGTGCTTCCAACTTTTTTATCAATTACTTTTTAATGATATTGAAAAAAGGTGATTTACTGACTTTTGTATTCAATATAATCATATTTAAGTACTAAAAAATTAAAGAAAATAAATAAAAACATTATCTTGAATTATAAATATCGAAATCATATCAACAAAGATGTTCTCAATATAGAACACGACTCTTCCATAATCGGTTCCCGCGAATGACGTCATATTAGTCCTACATGTCATGGCCGACTGAAGTCGTCGTAATTGATGTTTTACAGTTAAATAGGCAATTTTAATGAGGGTATATATATTTAGTACTCTAAATGGTATAGAACGATATTAAAATAATTGTTTTATCGCAAAATGCGTAAGAATTGATTGGGACAATGGTATTTGCAATAGAAAAATAAGGTAAAATCAACTTATATTTTTCTGGTTAGGTTTCGTAATGGGTCTAGTCTAAAACTTTAATGCCTCATCAGATGAAAAACAAAAATATTATTAAGTAAGTTTACAGAAATTTCTGGATTAAAGATAAATTTTGACAAAACTAAGGTTATTTGGATAGGCTCTCTTAAATATAGTACTAGGTCAATTAAGACAAGACGGAAATTAACATGGGGTGATACACAGCTCAAATTGTTAGGTTTAATATTTGTAGTTGATTTAGAAAAATGATTGACTTAAATTTTAATGAAAACTTCAAAAATCATTCATTGGAAAAATAGAATATTAACTCCAATAGGAAAAATTGCTGTTATTAAGTAAATTTTGCTTCCTTTATTTACTCACTGTTTCACAAGCCTACCAACACCAAATACTGTATTTTTGAAAACAATTAATGACTTATTTTATGATTTCATTTGGGAAGGCAAGGCAAAAATAAAACAATCAGTACTTATGAAAACATACAAAGAAGGTGATTTAAACATGGTTGATATCTATAGTTATATACATAATTTAAAGATACAATGGTTTAAAAGATATGTTAGTAATAGCAAAAGTAAATGTTATAAGCTAGTAAACACATTGTTTAATATTTGATAAAAATTTTAACACTGGAAAGATGTTTTGTAGTTTGATTATTAGCAAAATAACAAATTATTTCTGGATTGATGTTTTAAAAGTTTATATAGTGTTTGTAGAGATAATATAGAGCAAGAATTACATATGCCACTTTTTTACAATCACAACTTTTTAGCAGGAAAAAGATATATCTACATTCAGACATTATATAATAAAGGAATCAGATTTGTAAAAAATATCATAAATGAACAGGGTAACTTTGTAGATTTGATATATTTAGAACAGATCACAGACAAACCTGTGAACTTTTAACAGTATCATAGTTTAAAACAGGCAATAAAATTGTACATGCAAAAGTTTAATATTTTTATTAGTAACAATTTGCTTAATGTTCAATTACCTATAATAAATTGTTATGTTAAACCTATTTTAACTATGAATAACAATAATATGTTCATGAAATTATAGCTAAAAATTCAGACATACCTACAAGTCAAGAAAGGTGTAACACATGTTTTAAAGACAATAACATTAATTGGCAGTTAATATATAGTTTTGTTTTCAAATGTTCTAAAGATTCATATATTCAGTGGTTCCAAACAAGAATTATTCAGAGAACTTTAGCTACAAATTCACTTTTGTTTAAAATGAAAATTGTTGACAATAAAATGTGTACTTTTTGTAATCGCTGTGAAGAAACACTTACATTTATTTTGGGAATGTTTTGGGAATGATCATGTTTTATGTTGTAAATCATTCATATTAGGTACAGAAACTAAAGATTTTAAATATTACATATTGTTTCTAGAATTGAAAAGATATATTTATTTGTCTAATAAGAAAAAACTTTTTACCTACATGGTTTTAAAAATAGTTTGAAATTAGCATGGAATATCTATAGAAATATAAATTTGACAGATGATGAAAATAATAGATGGTCAATTATGAGATCCTTAATTGTTTAAACTACACTTAATATGTGAAAAAGAACTTTACCACGTAACAGATTATTTAATTCTTTAATAATAAGTAGTATTTTTATTGGTATATATTGGGGCCTCAAAAAAAGCGGCTTATAAAGTTTTGGAAGGATAAGTCAGATGCGAATAAAGTTATTTCAAATACACTAATTTATCACATTAACATGGAAATGAAAACATAACAACATTTATTGCGAAAAACTAAATTCAAATGACACACCTGAAGATTATATAGAGGATATTTGTTTGTTTGAGTGTAAGATGAAATTTTATTTCATCGAGTGGTCTTGAAAAACAGTTTTCTCACGACTGGTGTAGGCACGACTGAGAATACTGTTTTTAAAGTTCATGAGATGAAATAAAATAACATCTTACACAACAAACAAACAAATTTTCTTTTTATTTTATGCTTTAAAAGAAGTTAAAATGAAATTTCCTTATATATAAGTTAATATTTAATTTTGTTTTCCGCACTGAGAGCCTCATTTAGTCGAATTTCTCATTAAATACAAGAAGTCTTGGGCTGAAAATAAGTTCGACAATCAACGTTAAATGGCGGAGATATTATTCATTTTATTAAAAAATATGAATGATCGCTTGTTTTAATGATAAAAACAAACAATTCTAGTAGGAGAAAAAGTCCAAGCATCCATCCATATTTCTGTTACTTACTGCGAATTTATATTAGACCTGACTTTCTTAAATGTAAGCAGCCGCCATTTTTAAAAGTTGTGAATTTCATGGGAGGAAAATAATTGTGTTTGATTCAGAGGAATATTATTTGGATTTGTTAGTCATACACATTTTTAAAAGAAAGAAAACTTATTTGAGGATTGTAACAGACAATAAATAAGTGTTGACAGAAGTGTTAACATTCAAAAAGCGGCTAGGAAATTGAAAATCTTGGAACCCTAACGAACGCTGGGTTGTTTACTTATTATTCGGACTGATGACTGTCATTGCTTTTCAAGTTTTCATAAAGCATACGGCAGTTATTGCTCGTAGGATACCCGGTACTTAAATATGCCCAAATGTCATCAAGAGCAGTATTGCATGTGGAAGGAATGTATTTTTCAGACTGTAAAAATGAAACAAAAAAGTAAGAGACGATATTTGGTGAATGGTTATTTGAATGAATAGAAGTAAGTTTTCTTCTTTTTATTACTTTTGACATTTAAGCTATTTATCAATTTCAGCTTTGCTTTTCTCTGAACAGCCTGACATTGTCAGAATTGTCAGGAAAAATAAAATTGAGGTACCACATGGGGAAAATCTTAAAAAAGTTGTTTCGTCATTGAAAAGTGTGAAATTATATTTTGATAATTTTCACTGAGAAATTATCAAATATAAGTTCACGGATAAATCAGTAATCCACCGAAAAGCATAAAAAACGTAGTGTCTTTGACTCCTGTTCACAAGATGAAACCATTTATACATTTCCTTATAAAACTAAAAGAACTAAATTTTACTTTCCCACCGGCATTTTACCCAATATAGATTAGCAATGTTGTCGATATTTCTTTGTACCCGGAAGTATTAAAGCATCGTAAAATCTCGCAAGTCACATGACGTAACTTACATACCCTGATATTAATATTGTATTTGGAAATACCCGTTCTCACTCCGTACAATAAAAACCTTTAAAACTGAAGCATTAGTAAATATTTCTTATCGTCATTTAAATATTGGTGGCTTACTGTAACGGAAAAAAAGAATGTTTTCTCCAGGTTAGTAAATTATTGTTTAACAAATTTACATAACAGTCGGATGAAAATGATATTTTGCACAATGTACAAATAGGTTTTCAGCTTGAGGGCACGCACTAGTGATCATATGTTTTCACTATTATTGAAAACTTTATAGCATTACACCTGTTTTGGAGATTTTTCCAAGGTTTTTGATACTATTTTACACTCTACACGTGTTGTCAAATTTAATAATATTGGAATAAATGGATCTTTTTTAAATGTCCTGTCAGATATGTACAAAGATAGTTACATTCATGTTAAACTTTTACAACAAGAAACATAAATATTTAGGTATTTTATACAGTTCAAATGGCTCATTAAACTGTTTATCAAAAAGAAACGTGCAATTCGAACTTACTTTAAACCCTCAAAATATTTTGTTGGTGTGAAAATAGTATAGAATATTTTTTTTAACAAATCATCATACTGTGCGTTAAACCCATTCTTTCATATGCATATGAAATTTTGGGTACTGTGAAAAAGAACTCCTGTATTGTTAATAAAGATACTCATGTAATTGAAAACTCATTTAAAAACCTGTTTTGTGACAAATTGCATATGAAAGCTTTAAAATATATTCTTGGAGTTCACAAAAACCCCTGCAAATTATGGTGTTACTGGAAGATATCCATTGTATGTAAATATTATTACGTAATCAACAAATACTTTAGTAGGCTTTTATATTCAAAACCAACTTTATATTACTTGTATAATTAATTTAACTATAAAAAGCTGGGTGACAAGAATGATCTATGTTTTAGATAAACTTAAAGTAACCAAGCATCAACATTATAGTAAGAATTTATCGAAAATTGTTAAAAACTTACCTGTAAGTGAGTTTAAAAAACTAAATGGCAGAACAATTAAATACATGCTACAAAGAACATAATGGAAAATTGAGGACTTACTCAAAATTTAAAAAGTTTAATGTATGAACCTTATTTGGATATTACTAAAGATCCTGTTATTAGATCGTCTCTTACTAAATTTCGAATGAGTGCTCATAGACTGGAGAAATAAACGGGCAGATATTGAAAAATACCTGTCAATGATATAATTTGCAAATGTTGTCTATTACAAGATATTGAAACAGAATTGAGATGTAATCTTTATGATTTTGAAATAACTCTCACATATCTGTAAAGGTACCAAATTTTAAATGTCAGAACTGTTTTGTATATATGATGTTAAGTGAGAATGTTGATACTATTAATGTTTTATGTGTGTGAATGTGTGTGCGTGTGCGTGGATGGATGGATGGATGTAATTGTATGTGCGTATGTGCGTGTGTGTGTGCATCAATGGAACACTATAAAATGTATATTAAATATATGAAAATTTTTAATGACAGGTGCAAAGCCTTCACGCACAAATAAGATTGTTGTCTTTTTAAAACAATATTTTCTTTGATCTAAGATTTTTCCACATGCTCGTTTTCTAGAAGTATTATAGAATTAATTCTTTTCTTATGAAAATTAATCGATATTCGTCTTCATTAATGTCTCAGACTGGTTCACATATTTGACAAAGTCTTTTTTTCTCTACAAGAATTTATCTTAGGTTATTATTTTACAGAGTCAGTGATTCCTCGTCCCTTAGCTTGATAGTAACTTTCAAAGAATTCAATGAAAGTACTTGATATGATTCAAGAAGTTGTTTTAAATAGCGGCATCTTCCAAATGGAATTTAAGCCTGACTCAACTTACACATGATTGCTTCAATTGTGTATACATATATTTTACTGTATCAAGTGTCTCTGAAATTCAAATGTCCTATGAACGTGTATCAAATGTTTTTTCTTTAAACAGATGTTTCTTTTACATTTTAGAGAAGTCTGTGCGCGAATCGAGTATTGCGAAATTGAAGTTCATTTCTGGAGCACAAGTATATCTAGGTGTTGGTATATTTGTTTGCGCCGTAATAGCAGTGACGAAACAAAATGATTATTTGCATTTTTTGCGTTACTACTTTATTGGTGGATTTACATGCGGAATAACGGTATGTGTCAATAATATAGTCCGTCATCTTCTGAAAAATTGACATTACTTTATATTGTTCATACGTGAAACTATTCTTGTTCTGATAGTTAAGTTAACTGAAAGAACTTGGGTGGAAGTTGTTCAATGAGCGATATAATTTTTAAAACGGGAAAATTCCCTTTATAAAAGCTTGAAATAACCAAAGTTCCATTTTATATATCTAAAATTTTTAATTTTTTTCTAGCAATAAAATTTTCACTTTTTAAAGATCTGCTAACAAAATGCCCTAGTTATCCCTAAACACCGAAACAAACTAGGGTTTTAATTTTTTTTAAAAAAAGGGATGTTTGACTAACAAATCCAAATGATATCCTTATAAATCAAACACCTCCCGTGAAATACACAACTTTTAAAAATGGCGACCGCTTACATTTCACAGAGCCAGGTCTAATATAAATTCGCCGTATATAACAGAAATATGGATGGATTGTTTCACTTTTTCTCCTACAAGAAATGCTTGTTTTTTATTATTAAAACAAGCGACCATTTACATTATTTGAATAAAATTAATAATAACATTTAATGTTGATTGTCGAACTTTTTTCAGCACAAGACTTCTTGTATTTTATAAGAAATTCGACCAATAGAGGCTACCAGTGGGGAAAACAGATTATGATGTTAAAATGAATATCAAGGAAATTTCGTTTAAACATGTTTTTTAAGCATAAAATAAAAAGAAACTTTTTTTGTTTGTTGTGTAAGATGTAATTTTGTTTCATTTCGTTAACTTTAAAAACAGTATTCTCACTTGTGGATACGCCACTCGTAAGACTACTGTTTTTAAAGCGCACTCGATGAAATAACATTTCATCTTACACACAAACAAACAAATATATATAACAAGCATAAAATAAAAATAAAATTTGTTTTTTGTTGTGTAAGATGTAATTTTATTTCATCTCGTAAACTTTAAAACAGTATTCCCACTCTTGGCTACGCCACTCGTGAGAATGCTGCTTTTAAAGCTCACTCGATGAAATAAAATTTCATCTTACACACAAACAAGCAAAATTCCTCTATAACTCTGTCGTCATATAATTGTGTTATAATTATTATGCATGTATATTTTATTAAAATACTTTTAAATGAAAATTGTATAAATGATATTTATTATCTAAAAGGAGCGTTTGTCATAGGACAAAATCTCAATGGAATAGTTAACTGTTGTTATTGTTTTATGATGTTTTGTGTTTCTAATGCCATATTTAAAATTAAGATATGTTATTTGTTTTCTACGATGGTGTATCTTCATGTGTTATCTTCTATAAATAAAGATATAATTATATACCCGCAAAACGAAGTTGTAAGGAGGTATACTGGAATCAGCTTGTCCTTCCGGCCGTCCGTACGTCTCCCCGACCGGCCATCCGTCGGTTTTTTCTTGTGGGATTCCTTTGATCCACATTCTTCATATTTTAATTGTAGATGATCCCTATTGATTTTGACGTCACCAGGTCAAAGGACAAGGTCACAGGGGGCTTGACTAAGAAAAGCTAGTCAGCCCAATGACTTAAGATTCCTTTGACCCCCAGTCTGTATATTTGGCATGGTGGTTGGTTATGACCATTACATGACGCCTATTGATTTTAAGTCACCAGGTCAAATGTCAAGGTCGCGGGGGCCTTGACTAAAAAAAGATTGTCCTCCCAATAACTTAAGATTCTTTTGACCCACATTCTTCATATTTGGCATGGAGGTACGACATAACCATTAGATGACCCCTACTGAATTTGAGGTCACTGAGTCAAAGGTCAAGGTCGCAGGAGCCTTGACTAAAAAAAGCTTTTCTGCCAAATACTTTAAGATTCCTTTGACCCACATTCTTCATATTCAGCATGAAGGTTAGTCATGATTGGTAAATGATCCCTATTGATTTTGAGGTCACTGGGTCAAAGGTCAAGGTCAGAGGGATTTGACTTGTAAAAGGTTGTCCGCCCAATAACTTAAGATTCCTTTGACCCACATTCTTCATATTTAGCATGGAGGTTAGTCATGATTAGTACATGGACCCTATTGATTTTAAGGTCACTGGATCAAAGGCCAAGGTCACAGGCGCCTTGACTAAAAAAACCTTGTCCGCCCAATAACTTAAGATTACTTTGACCCACAGTCTCTATATTTGGCATGGTGGTTAGTCATGATAAGTAGATGACCCCTACTTATTTTGAGGTCACTGGGTCAAAGGTTAAGGTTACAGGGACATTGACTTTCAAAAGATTGAACACCCAATCACTTAAGAAACATTTGACCCACAGTCTTTATATTTTGCATAGAGATTGACCATGACCATTAGGTGACCCTTATTGTCGATCAAAGGTCAAGGTCACAGGAGCCTTGACTAAAAAGCTTTTCCGTTCAATTGCTTTAGAATGCTTTGGTCATCAGTCTTCCTTTTTGGTATTGAGGTTTTTTATGACTAGTTGATGACCCCTATATATTTTAAGGTGACTGTGTCAAAGGTCAAGGTCACACGGATTTTTACTTTAATAAGCTTGTCTGCTCAAATGCTAAAGAATGCCTGTTCGCAGTGTTTTGATTTTGACATTTTCACATTTGAAGCATGTAGAATACATAACTTAGCAATGCACTGGCTTAGTATCCTCAGATTTGGCAGACAGGTTGTCCTTTAGCTCTAAATGGCCACTGTTGATTCTGACAAAGTGGTATGCGGGGGGTATTCACGCCATGACAGTGGCAGTTCTATTTATAATTATGAGCATCATCATCATCATTATATTAATTATTCTTATTACTATTGTTAATATTATAATCATCATCATCATTATTATCATTATTATTATTATTATTATAATTATTATTATTATTATTATTATTATTATTATTATTATTATTATTATTGTTGTTGTTGTTGTTCAGAGATAGTCGTCTGAAGCAAATTTTTCTGGCCAAAACATTAAGAATGTTAATTAAATATATACAATGATTTAAAAGATAAGATCAGAACATCTAGTCTACATAGATTTCCTATAAACGGGAAACGGGACCCTTGGAGGAAGTGTTAGGAAAGTATTATGTTCGGCATGAATGACTTAAGCGACGAGAGGCACTCGATAATATGAGCTTAGATTAGACAGACTGATGAAGTATGTACGCAACACTTCACTTTGTAAGTCCTTATGTCGAATATTGACGGTGGCAATTTTAATGGAAGTATATATTGCTACTTTATACTTTCAGGGTGCACTAACAGGCATTGGTGGCATAATGACCGTTTACAAAGCTTCTTCTTACAACGGTGACGATGTCGTGTATCTTCGGAAAGAAGTAAAATGTACCGTAAGTTATAAAACTTGTATTTAAGTGCAATGGCGTTGTTTTTGTATATGACATCATTTTTATTTTTTGTAGTAAATTATGGAAGTATACAGGCTAGATGAACACACAGTTTGTTAACGGTAGCATTGGGTTTCGGCATATATCACAAATACAACATTCCGGGCAAACATTTGCCGTTTTCAATGGTACATAACTTTTCATAGGACGTCCTTAAATTTTTCGTTTATGCTTGCAGATATTTCCAATGCAGCAATATTTAAAAAAACAAACAAATATGTAGTATCTGTGTGTCATAAATTTCTGCTTGTATATCGGGAAAACATGAGATACTTTAGCGGTGATCCAATGTTATCGTAATCAAATGGCACGTCACCAGCATATTCATTAGATTGCCCGAAATACAAGAGTTGAAAGAGTTATTCGAATATAGACTTTGAAATTGATTTCCATTATAAGTCTTTTAATGTTGCCACAGAATAAAGATGTTATTCAATGTACAAATAACTTTAATATTCAATTAGTCTCAAAAGATGTTAAAATATATGTTCTGCAGCCCCTGATAAAATCATTAATCCGTAACGCTAAGCTTTAGACAAAATAGTAATCACAAGTGTATAATTTATTAATATGCTTTTCTCGTATATTTTCAGGCATGTTTACAAACGGTCTTTGGCTGCATTTTTGTGATCATGGCTATTCCTGGAATGTTGATGAATACAGTATTTCTGGTACAAAGCAATGTTGATGACGAATACAATGACGAGCATAAGACGCACGTCATATTATCAGCATGTATTTTATCAGGAATTGTTCTTCTGCTACTAATTACAATCCTGTCACTTAAAACCATGGGCTACCAAGGCAACAATCAGAGAATGTATCATGCTAATTACCCAAACACGGTCGGAGGACCCCAGAATTATCAGGGCCAGTCTCCTTACGCTCAGCAACAAGTTTCCACCACTGGAGTTTATAACCCAGGTTCGAATTCCCCACCTTATGCTCCGGCTCCACCATTTTTCGGCATTGGACAGAATCCCACACAATATGGTGTCCAGCCAACTTTTGTTCCGACAGCGCCACCACAGCCATATTCATACTAGCCATAACTTGAAAATATAATAACAAATAGTGGAACATTGAAACTGTCATCGTAATATTAATCAAAGCACAGCAAGCACTGAGGTATACATTGCTTGACATCAAGACCATGTGATTTTAATCTACTGAACTCAATAGAAGTCATCTTCTGGTAACAGCCAATTCCGAACACAAATCTAGGCTTATTTCTTCTCAAGTTATTAATAGGACAAGAAAGAGGTTTTGTTCCTACAGACTAGTGCTGTGTTTTTCCAGGCAAGCCTATATGGTTTGCGAAACTGAAGAGCAATACAGAAATCAGTTTGCAAAGACCTGTTTATTATCTGCAGTATACAATGCTGAAATAGTGAAGTAGAGTATTCAGTGTTTTTATCTATTACTTTAAAAACAAGACCAACAGCGGGTTTGTAGTCTACAAAAATGTGGTATTGAATCATTCAGCAAGACTTTAAAGTTAGGTGAACATTTTTGTTTACATGCAAAACGCATTCACTGGAAAAAATGCACTCCATAGTGCAATTATTGTTTTTGTTTACATGCAAAACGCATTCACTGAAAAAAATGCACTCCATAGTGCAATTATTGATTCAAAATAAAAGCATTTGTACTTGACAAAATTTAGGCATCAAAGCCCTAAGCTCTAGCCTTGTACATTCTTAAATTTTTACTACAAGTACATAACGAAAATTAATGACTCCCTCCCCCAACCCTCGCACAAGGCAAATTTTATCCCAGGGCTAAAATTAAAATAATCTTGGTAGAGGTCGACTACACAATGTTTCATGCCAAATATCTTACCTCTAGTCTTTGTCAATTCAGAGGAGAATACTGTTTAAGTTTTTTTCTATACATGTATATACATTTAAGGAAAACCTAAGACACCCTGGTGCCTGGTAAACCTTGTACCTTCAGACAAGATTTTTTAAAAGTTTTTACTATATACATACAAAGGCTCCTTGGCAGAGCCAATTTTGACCCCAGGGCTATAATTTGAACAATAGTGATAGAGGTCTACTACACAGGTAAAGGTTTCATGCCAAATATCAAACATCTAGCCTTTGTCAATCCAGAGGAGAATATTTTTTAAGTTTTTTTTTATACATGTTTATACATTTAAGGAAAACCTATGCCACCCTGGTGCTATTTCACTAGGGGCAACATTTGAACAACTTTGGTAAAGGACGTACTGATGATATTATTTACCAAGTATCTAAGCTCTAAGCCATAAACCTTCTGATGAAAAGATTTTTTAAAAAGTTTTTGCTATATACATATAAGGAAAACCTTAATACATGACCCCAGGGGTGAGGCTAATTTTGACCCTTGGGCTGTAACGTGAATAATCTTGGTAGAGGTTGACTACCAAATGTTTCATGACAAATATCTAACCTCTAGCCTTTATCAATTCAGAGGAGAAGATTTTAAGTTTTAACTACATACATATCAGGAAAATCTATGAACCCTTGCGCAGGGCTAATTTGACCCCCGGGGTATAATGTGAAAATCTTGTGAATGTCTACCAGACAATGCCTTATGCAAAATATCTATGCTCTAGGCCTCATTTAAGTCTTTGAACAACTTTGGAAGCCCTTTACTCATTGAACAACCCTGTCAAGTTTGGTTGAAATTGGACAAGATGTTTTCAAAAGATGTTTACTATATTATGTATAAAACACACACACATGCACGCATGCATGCACAAACACACAAAGAGGGGAATCGCTATATGCCAACACAGCATCTACATGCATCAGACTAGAAGTCCAACACATTTTCAAAAAATAAAATGACAATTACATTGTTGATGTGTTGAAAGCCTTGTGAAATTTAATAAAAGCTTTATAATATTTAGAATAAACTTTTTCATTCCAAACTGTAATCAAACAATATGAGGTATGGCACATGGTATGGTCAACCAAGTGGATCTCATTGGAGCAAGGTGGGGAGGAGTGTGGGAATCCAAAGATTAGTAAATCATGTTTAAAGCCTGTGGATTTACTGAGTGCATCAGAAAGTATTTAAGCACTAAGTTGAAATTTATATGGAATAATGCACTTTATATGTGTTAATATGCTATATATCAAAATTAAATACTCAATATCTTTTTTTATGTTAACTATAAACTTAAAGAATTAATAAATTTCTTTTATATAATCTATGAATTCAATTTATAGTATCTTTTTTGGTTTGACTTTTATCACAGTCTGTGCTTTTTGTGATACCATACTATTGTTTCCGGCACCTTTACTCCAATTAAGCAAATGAAGTAATTGAAGACCAGGACCTTGAGTGTACTTCCTTTCTGAGTGGGGGATCTGAACATCACTGTCTGTCCTGTTCACCATGTCTCGATATCGGATTTGTCTTGGTACAGACCACCCTGTCTGATGGTCTGCAAGGTTCCGCATGTATGGCCAGCTGGGACTGTTTAATGTCACCGAGGAGAACTCCATATACATGTGTAGTTTTTTGACAATCAATAAATATTTTACAATCAAATAGGAAAAAATGATTCATGTAGTATTTTATTTAGCTAAATCCTTTCAAGCTATCATCATCGTGTACAATAAAACTTACTGGTAAGGAGTTAATTAAGGGCTTCTCCCCCTAATACATCAAAGGTCAAATTAAGAAGTAGTACTGTTACAATGCCTTATCAAAAATAAAGTCACATATATAGACAATAATTAAATATTTAACAATATTGATTTAATACAAATAAATCATTAATATATGCAGTCCAGCCAATAATGAGCTGAAAATATTTATCAATTTCAAAGAGTGAGAAAATAAAATGCAGCCTGACTAAAACTCAAACCAGAGACACTCAGAATACCATACCTCAGCACTACCAAAAAACCCAAAACCCTTGGAATACCATACAGCAGCTCTACAGCTTAAATATTTTCAGTCTCATAGTTCTATGCATTGACATAATCCCCAGCATATTGAAATTTTTCCTTTTTCATTGGAACACTTAAGTAACAAAGTGAATTGACTTATGATTCAGTTATGTACCATCATAAACATATATTGGACCCTAAAAGTAACAGGGTGAAAATATCACAGGGTGAGAAAAAATGTGCAGTTTGACCGGAATCAAACCTGAATCAGAATATTATACATGTATGTGGGCTGTACTGACTCACTCAGCTGAGCTATCTAGCTGGCAATGTCAATAATCTATTATACATGGGCATAGAAGTCAAAGAAACATTCATTGATAATGACCCATTATTAAAAGTAAATCATATCAGAAACATCCCTTGAAAATGATATCATTTAATTTTTGACCCACAGTTATTACCACTACCTCCTAATGGGCCTAATCAAACTGAGCCTGCAGAATTTTATAATTTTGCTGTCTGTCAGACATGGCAATTTCTTATGGGTTTCATCTTTATCTCCATTTGAAGGGATGTAACTCATGTTTACTAAATAGTTTGTTCTTATCTGTCTATCTTAGTCATTACAGACTATTCTAGCTGTATATAAACATAAAAAAAATCTTTTATATTAACAAACAGAACATAATAAGATGAAAAATTTACCAGTTGGAGAAATTCATCAAATGGATGGAGGTCCAGGAATGATGAATATGGATAGAAATATTTTTTTTGACTGGCTTTATGTACCTTCTAGTTATTGTGGCAAGGAATTTTATAATTATTCAGTTAAACCTGGTTTTTCAGTTAAGATTTCATCATAAAAAGATCTTCAGGACTCTAAATAAATTCATATTTGTGGTATCAGGGGAAATTAAATTACTATTAAATGTGCTAAATCTGATCATAAACATCAATCTTAATATTTAGAATGTACCTGTAGGTGTTGAGTGTCATATTTCACTCTTCACTTCAACCCTTTTTTTACTAATGGCTTTAATTTAACTGCCCATGCAATCATAAGCTCATATATGGCTAATAATTTTACCTTGTATATATCAATAGTCTAAAGAGTTATGGAAAAAAAAATTTAAGGGTCGCTCAGCCTGACTGAGTGATTTGATTGTAAATAACATATTCAAAATATATTTCTGAACTTGTGACAGACCTATACTCCTCCGATGCCACCATGTTGATAGGGTTCTATTATATGCAATTATATGACAATACGTTTTCAGAACGTAAACATTTATTCCATTCATACAGACGCTTACAATGTTACATACCACTAAATAAGACATACATATATCTGTATATGCTCGTTTTCTAAAACAGTTTGAAATAGAAAAAATGTGCAAGTGTATATTTAAAAGTAAATAAGGTTTACTTGTTTGATTTAATATTTATTTTGGATGTTGGACATATTTTATACAAAGTCTGTCGTAATTCATTCATTCTTGCAAGCGCATGCGTGGATACGAAGTTTGAAGCGTAGGTTTACACAATTATGCTTTTATGAATGAAATAGTAATTTTCATATTTTTTGCTTTCATGTTTAGAAATGTTTCTTTAAACTGAAAGAGCATAGTTTTGAACCTTTAAAGCTTATTGACCACTATGCAAACAATATTTTAATAAAAAGTGATCTTAATGTGACAATCCTGCAAAATGAGGATTTACTTTTATCGAGGTTTCATCCAAAGTTGGATGTTGTTCAGCAAAACAGGTTAGGTGTATTAAGTTCTGAAATGCAGCTATAACTCTGTATACATTGCAAGCAATGTATACAAAAAGTGCTAAGCTTTTTGAAGAAGTTTTAAGTCATTTAACATGTTTTCCCCTGAAAGGTACCAAATATTTATAACTGAATGAAACTTTCAGAACATTTGACTTGATAGAAGATTGGATATTACAACGTGAACTACACAAATGTCACTTTATTTGTGCTCATTTTGGAAGTAAAACACATAGTCGAAATCCAAATTCATCTCATGTTATGACACATATAATGTGTTACTTAAAATCTTTGTTTGAAGTATTTAATTTTTGACTCATTCATAGCGTCCTTTTATTGTTGTTGCACCATGTAATGGTATTATTGTTAGATAAACCACAATTGTTATAGGCTGAATCTGAAATAACACGAGTATTACTCTGATTGGACCGAGTTGCAACAGGTTCCGTACTAGT